AAATAATATTTCACGTCGTTAGGCATCGTGATCGGGAACCTGATGGGTCACACACAAAAGAGAATTGAAAGACTGTAATTTGTCAATTAATTAATTTAACAATTGTTGGATAAATTAATTAATTGGGTTGGTTATTTATATGTCCGAATTAATTAATTGGATTGATTAATTCACGGATTGGATTTAATTAAATGGATTAATTAAATATTGGACCAAATCAGGCCAGACCCGTTTGAGCTTATATAAATACATGGCTATGGTTTTCAATCCAGATGTTTTTCTCATAATTATTCTTGCTAGCACAAGAGGAGAAAACCCTGGTAGTTGCAATATTGTTCTCTTCGTGGATCACCGTTGGAGGCTGGACAATTGGACAACTGTGGGTGGCGAATCAAGATTGTTGGAACGAAAATAATAGTAAAGAAGTTTGCAGATCTGAAAAAGGTATAATCTTTTCACAATTTTTATCTAAATACAAAGAGATTTCTGGCGGGAATCGAAATCTGTTTTAATTTTCCGCTGCGTATGTTAAGTAGATTCCCAACAGAAACCAGATGTCAATCAAAATTTCATGTATATTATTGAGAAATTATATAATATTGTAAAGGACTAACCACTTGCATAGATGAGTATTTTAACTGGAAATTCTCAGGAGAAGTAGATGAAAATTTTCCTTTGATCCTGACAGTCTAAGAGTACCAACTTCTTAGTTTATCTTGCAAAACCAGAGGTTTAAATTTGTGTTTGTGTAATTTTTGGTGTAAAGTATGAAAGAAAAAAGAATGAGAGAGAGAGGGAGAAAGGCGTGAGAAAGAGAGACAGGAGATGAGGTGAGAGTTGGGAAAATCTGTGCTTTGAACTGATCAATACTGAAGAAACTGATTAAAACTCTGAACTCTCAAAATTTTTTTAGTTAGAATGCCTCACCATCCTAACCACTATAATATTCAAAATAAAAATAAGTTTCTAATCTCTTATAAATCCATACATATATATATCCACACTCCACACACACACACACACTTGAATTACCCATCGCGAATCACCCTAATGGACCCGACACGTGCCGTGCGTCGATAGTAGATATCATCTAAGTGCCGAATTCACCACTAAAACAATCTTGACCTGCTTTGACAGTGACGAATTTTTACTTTTAGTAAAATAATTAATTCTCACTTGAAATCAATCACTTTACTCTTAGAAAAGAAAAATACTACTCGGGCTTTACATAAAATGTTCGGACTTGAACTGACTTGGCTAGGCTCATCTAGTTGAGGTCCAAATTAAGATAATAAAATTTGGCCTTTAGCTTGTCTAAACCACCCGTCGATGTAGTCAAATCTTTGAAAACAAGATTAGAGACATAATGCATGCCACAAGCAAGATCGGAACAAGAAATGGATTTTAATCAACTAAATAAATGTATTTCACTAAAACTTTGTTTGATTAAAGTAGAACATTAAAGATGTAGAAATTAATTTCGCTGGTATAATGACAAGTGTATTTTATACATTTATGTAGACCTAAAAATATAAACATTTAATAGTTCTTTAAAGCAATTATAGCCTAATTTGTTATATATTTCATTTATTAGGTAAAACTTGATGGTTGGAAGTTAAACCGAAAGAAAGAAGTGAAAAACGGCTAAAAATGGTGACGTACAAAATTGAGGACCAAATTGAAAATATCCAATGGTTGAATTGGACCATAAGAGATATTTTAAAGATTGATGGGAGTCAATTGGATTGCAATTAGAAGTCAAAAAGGAATAGAATATCATCAAAATATACCATAAATCGACTTCCAATTACATGATATATTTTTCAGATTTTTAGTCAAAGATTGCGACCAATTTTTGGCATAGTAAACGTCCGAATTGGAAAATATTTATTTCTAGGAAAATTGTAGCCCTTTTAGTTAGATTTCCAACTCGTTTTGAATCAACTCAATGAGACATCGGGAGACAAAGTTATGATCAAAATACCAACTACTGTGCAGAGATAAAAAATTCGCGCGCGAGTGTAACTTTTCTTATTCGATTGGAACTCTTTTGGAAACCAATTTGGACGTGATTTTTCACCAATTTTCGACTACTACAGATACCCAATAGGAAAATACACAAAGGGAGCTCTCATACTTTTCTCTTATACATAATAGACTCCAATATTCATCAATTATCATCACCAAAGGAGGAGAATTCATTGTTTTTGCAAGAGAATTGAAGGGGGACTTGCAAGAATTCAATCAAGTGAAAATTCAAATTTGGTATTGGACAAAGGAGAGAGAGCGCAAGTGGAGATTTATTAAGAAACCATTGAAGAGATTCAAGATTTCAAGATTTGTCTTCATCTTCTCAATTTATCAAAAATCCGGGTTATGTCTTTCCACTTATATATGATTTCTTGTAATTTAAATATGTTAGGCTAATTTTTCATATTTGCTAGGATGTGATGAACCCCTTTTATGAATCTTTAATTTGAATAATTTAATTGACATTAATTTGTTTAATTGTTTAGATATTTATTATCGTTTTCATGTTTTTCAATTAATTGGCCACTAGTTAAATTATTTGTAGATTTTGTTATTATCGAGAGAGACAATAGGATCATTAGTACAAAATAATAAATATTGTGAGGTTCGATAGAGGATAGAGATATATCTCTATACTTCATATGATTTTTATAAGATGTTCTAACTTGTTTAATGCATTTATCATGTTCGCATCTTTCATCGAGATATATAAAGGTCGCATGAGGGGAATAAATTTGATAGCTATCGAGAGAGGTTTTCAATTAAAATAGGAACATTGACCAACAAACATGATTTCAAATTGTCAATTTAAATTGTCGAACTAAAAATGGAGTAGCAAGGGGGATTCCACATCTTAGCAATACTTTTCGCAAATTTGATAAACTTTTACTTGCTTTCTATTTAGTTGATAGATTTAATAGTGTTAGTTACAACTTGACCTTGCTATTCGATTAAGGGAATCATTAGCTTTAACTCGATTAAACATATAGTCCTCATGGATTCGACACTCTACACACCACTTTATTACTTGTTCACGATCCCATTCACTTGCGGGTAATCAATCGATCATATAACAAAGTAATTTCCAACAGTTTGAGCTTTAGAGAAATCAAATTGACCGTTTGAGCCTTTTGGGTTGTGATAACATAGTAAGTCTTAGTATTCTATTTAAAATTTAGTGATTCAAACCTCTATATGCTGACTATCATTATTTTTTTTTTAATTTTTTTTTTTTTTGAAGTAGGAATTTTTTACCTCAATAGTATTACATTCAAAAATTTTTGTATTAAGTTTTGAAGTTCTATTGTTGTTAAATAATTTTTTACATTGATAGTTTTATTATTTGTTGAGGCACTATGATTATTCAGTTGTTAATGCTTTTGAGTGTAAAGAGATAGGGAATGGATTGATGGAGGAAAACCGGTAATAAAGTGAACATAGGGCCAGATTTTAGGTTTTCTTAGACTTGATTTCATACTTTAAAAGTAAATCCAATTTTTTTCATCATTGTGTTTACATAATCAAACTGTTTAACTATTTTTTTTCCCGAATTGATGACCACTCAATTTTAATAAAAAATCGAGGGATACATTTATAATTTATTAAATCATAATTGAATTATTAAAATTAAATTCTTCTACATGTGTATGAATTTATATAGAAATATACTAAATTCGGACAAATAAATAGGGTTAGTTTTTTGAGAGAGAGGGGTTACTAACTAAAATTGATTAATTCGATTCTTAATACATATGAAAAATGGGTTGAATGAATTTGGATTGGATAAATGTTAAACAAGCTAAGTGAATCAAAATTCCAAACTACTGAATCCTAAATAGTCTTTACAAACTTTTAAGCTTTCATCTACTAGAATTATTGTATAGTTTACTTAGGAAACATATAAACTCTTGACTTAGTAATCGGTTGTAAAATTAATTTAGATCGAAGATAGATTAGGATAAAATTAGTAGTAGATATATAGACCTTGTGGGTACGGTACTTGGACTCAAAATTCATTTTATTACTTGTCACGATTCGTACACTTGTGGAATCACGAGATCAAGTTTTTGGCGTCATTATCGGGAACTAATTTGTTTACTTTGATTTTTTTTTAGTTTAATTAATCTAGCCTTGATTGTCTAAATGTTTGTGTCTATTATATTAAGAATAAAAAAAATAGATTTTTTACGTAAATTCAATGATTAAATTATGAATTGAATATGAATCATGAACGTCCACTTTTTGGATCACAAGCTCTCGGCTTTTATGCACAAGAAATTCATGTTTTGAACCTTCAAGTTTTCTATAGTATTCTCTAAAATCAAGACTATATTAATGGGTTGGAATTTTCTTTTAATTAAATCAAGAAATTAATTTCTGAGCATATGAATAAACAAAAAATAATAATTTTCTCTCTCTAAATTTGAACATTTATGAAAAAGTTGTTATGTGTTGTCGTGTGTAGAATTTTTGGCTCCATCTATCTCTATTTGTAGAGATTTAAAGGTTCTAATATATGTCCAACAAGAATTTCAAATAAAATCCAAAAACGAATAGGAATCTCAATTGAAATCCAATTTCGTGGCCTTGGCACTGTACTAATGTACGTGCAGTGTCAAGAGGACCCCGAGCAAAATGAAAACTACTTAAATAATGCTACTAATTTATAATGAATTACAATATATCATAGGGCACTAAAAATGAGGAAAATTAACAAAGATGACTACACAAATTAATCATAGGAGTATAACTTTTATCTCCCACAAAATTCATGATTATCGATATTCGAGTTAAAACATGAATATAATATCTTGATCAACATAGTTCATGAATCTACATTCCGTTGGATAGATAATCAATAAAATCACTACGAAAACACCACATGGAATTATACTTGAAGGCTAAACTTGAAAATTGAAATTAAACCATCAAAACTAGGTTACATCCATCGTTTTCGTTTAGTTAATTCATGATCAAATTATGGAACTTCATGATAAATATTGAAATCATCCAGGTTAAAGAGAAAAGAAGTAGAAACTAGGAAGATAAATAGTTGAGGACATCTACTGTACCGTCCAATACAATCTAGTACATTATACAAAACATGCACTCAAAAGTGTTGTTTTACAAAAATAAAACTATAAATATATCAATTGACACTTGACGCTATGGTGAATCAAGGATCACCAGCTCGAGCCATCTCCGTCTCTTCAGTTCGATGAATGATTTTTTTGCTTTGTTTCATCTCACCAAAGAAGTAGGAAACAAATCCCCACAGAGAGAGGAAAAGAGCGACACCCTTTTCTGCTTGAAACTTTTCGTGGAAGAAAATAACTGCTAATAATTCTGTTATTGGGATTGATACAGTAATTATAACTCCAGCTAGTAGTGACGAACCATAAAATACTACTCCTACTATGCCCAAAAAGAAACCTTCCAGAATAATGGCAGCCCAAACCAGCACCAAATAATATTTTGTTTCCCCAAGTTCATATTGTTTTGCCTCCTTTGAGATTGCCTATAAAACATGTAACATGTTAAAAAGTAATTCTCGATCAAAGTCTATAAAGAGATTGTTAGATTAATTAATGCGCACAGAAGATACGCAAGGTAATAAGAAGAAAAACACCCTCTCGCATTTCTAGTGGCTCTAGAGGTGTTTAGGGGACCTAAAGTTTTGAAAAAAAATAAAAATAAAAAATAAAATAATTTGTAATATCTGTAGTTCAGGGCGGGCATAGGCCGGGCCGGGCCTCAAGATTTTCTGGCGAGACATGCTAGGGATTAGCCCGGCTTACACGTGTCCCTTCAGTCTCGCATAATTTTATTAACTTTTGTTAAAATTTACTTAAAACCTAGCCCCTATTTGTGTTGGTCCCAAAGGCGACGCAAAAATTGAGATTAATAACGTTGTATGAAATATGTAACAAGATCATAAAGATGAAACAAGATTATATGTAAAAAAAGAAAAGAGATTAACACAAAAGAATGATGTTTATTAATCAACAATATGGAGTGGAAATACAAAATTCAACAATATTGCTTCAACAAAACTGAAAGAGAAGACCTATATTTATAGTACACGAGTCAAAACCCTAGAATTAGAGTTAAAGATGGAAACTAGGTTAAAAATTGCGTAAACCAAAAAAATCGGCGAAACTTCACTCCCCTATCGTTCAAGCGTCGCTTGAGCAAAGCCCCTGTAGCTCGAGTAACTGTGGGGAGAAAAGCGAACGAAAACTTTATGCTTTGAAAACACCCCCCGTCACTCGAGCAATCATCTAGCATTACTCAAGGCATTGTCAACCCGACTTTTCACATTCAATTGAACCCTAGGTTGAGGTCTTGAAGTCCAACGGCCCAAAAATGCGAAGCCAAAACAAATTTGGGTTACAAACCCAACAGTTTGAGCTCCATTATAATTAGTTTTTGGGAAAAATATATTTTGTTATAGTAATTTTTAGAAAAATTTGCGGTTAAAAAAGAAAGAAGAATTTTAAATTTATATGTAATATTATTTTATTAGAAAATGTATAGTTAAAAAGAAAAATACGTATTGAAATTAATGGAGTCTAAACATGAACTAATTTCAATTCCCATCAAAAGGGACATAGAAGGGGTTTCTGAAACCAGGCCGGAGGAATCTGTCATAAATATCTATTTTAAATCAAAATTTGAGTTGATCTAAAGATAATAGGCTTGACTTTTTCTAAATTAGTTTCTATCGTTATCAATATAGTAAATACACAAGTAGAACAAACGAAATCCATCCAATCAGTTGGGTAATCTTGCTTGCTTTGACTTACTAATTTAGTTTATTAAATTACATGAATTATTTTAATTTTTTAAAAATGTTTGGGAAAGAAAAGTATTATAACTTGTAAAGTTGAAAAATGTTAAAAATGAATCACTATCGTTTAATCACTCACTTACAACTAGATAACGACATAATTATATTAAACATTGAAATAAGCATAATCTTTTCGGCTCCAATAATTGTTCTTGTTGAAGATAATTCATATGAAAAAATGTGTCATTCAATAACACTATAAGCTTATAGATGAAATCACTATACCATAACTTATATGAAAGACATGAATTCAAGTTTTGTCATCGCATATTTATGAAATTTGTGAACACGTTGGACTTTTAATTTAAAAAAAGGAAATGTCTTTGCTGTGATAAAATTGAAAAAAAACTTAAATAAATAAATTTTATTAATCCAATAAATTAGAGGTGTTAACTCCCGCAACTTGCTATAGACCTGTGGGGTGGCCCGACCCATGAGGCGAACCAGTCCAACCGTTCCTCTTCTCGAACCTATGGTCTACTATACCCATCACATGCGACATTTTTTCAACTTTTTCTCCACTTAAAAATGGACGGTTTCTATTGTCGGTTCTAACACCTTTATTTTAAATTTAAACTTTTAGATTAAGTAATTTAAAGAAAGACGGAAAGAGTTAAGAAAGAAAACCTGAAAGTCCTTGTTAATGATCATCCCGACTGTGGAAAATACAGTAGCAAAGAAACACATAACCAATTGAATCTCCAAAACCAACCTATATGTAACAGCCTGTTTTGCCTTCAAGTACGTCAACTCTAAAGATGGCATAATAAACCCACCCAAAGCTGCACCCGCAAGCGTGAACACAAACCCTAAAACATACTCCTTGCTCGACTCGCCCTCCGGTCTGTCACTACTCGTATGAAGAGCCAAAACCGCCGCCCCAAGCGTCAACAGAACAATAGCGTTCGTCGAAAAAGACGTGAATTTCTGCTTAACAAGAAGGAAAGCAAAGCCAGCAGTGAAAGCCAACTGTGTGGCAACTAGAAGGGAAGACGTCGAAACAGGGAGACGAGCTAGGCCGTAGCCATAGAAATAGTTACTGAGGCCTGTTATAACACCTGTACAAAACCAAATTTTAATAAATAAATATGACCAAACCATTCTTTCGGAGTATAAGTTCCTGCTTCTGAGATGATCAACAGGATTAGAAACAAAATGAATAAATGTGAATCTTTTCTAACAGCTTAAACAGTTACCAATAATTGCCGAGGCGATGAGCACCCGAGTTTTCATCAAGAAAAGCTCGGTGGTGTCAGTGGCGGTGGTGCAATTGATGGGACGCTGCCAGCGGCGGTTCATATAGGATACAAAGAGAGGGATGAGAATAATTGGGAAGCCGGCGGTTTGTATCCAACTTGATAACCAGATTCTTTTGCCACCACGGATGAAGTAAAGGCGGATGATCAAAGGGCCGCCACAGTTGCCTACAGTTAGTAGTATGCAGTTCAGAACTAGAAGAGTTTTCTTCCAGGTGGTTCTGGGTACAGCTTCCATTTCCTTTCGGCCAACTCTTACAGCTGTATAATTGGAATCCAGACGAAATTGACTAGGGAGAGAGGTATCTGTTTATGACTGCATTTATGGTGGATTATTAATGAATACAACTAACCAAGTACTTGAGATTAATTATACATTTAGAAAATATGGGAAAATTTATAGTCAACTAGTTGATAACTATTGATAAAATCTCAACACAAAGCAACTTGCAAAAAATGAAACTTTGCAAAGTTTCATTAGATAGTCTAAGACAACAAACTAAGCTGAATAAATTTGGGTAATTTAAGTTTTTATTTGACAATCATTCCTTCAAATTCTTTTTTTTTTTTTTTTTTCACATACTATTCAAAAACTCATTCTTTCCAAAAACATTCTATCAAAGAAGGGCTACTCTATTTATCTCTATAACATTTGCTTACTTTGCGACGCCTCCCAGAGCTGAAGTGTCGGTCACTCGGGGGTTTACACTAGCTAACCCTTACCAACGTTTCTCCAGATTCGAGTTCCAATAGATCATGCCGCCAGTAGAGGACAACCTAACAAAGTGCATATTAAAACTTGAGAAATGCTATGTGTAGATAGAGAGCTTGTTTGGTTTGGATTTTAAGTCAATTAAAATTAATTTTTTAACCGTTATTTCACTATTCTCATCATCATTTTTGAATTCTTCTCGCATTAGTAAGACTTACTTTGTCTATAATGGTGAAAATATTAATTATTAAAATTTTTACCAAACAAACACAGAAATTTGATAAGTTTTATGCAGGGAGATACTTCGTAATCTTTCATTGGATTGGTTATTGGTAAAATAAAAAAAATAAATAAACCTTACAAGTACTCCTAATACAAGTGTACAACACCTTTAGACCTATTTACATAGGATTTCCTCCACAAACTGATTGATCCTTAAAGCTTTAATCATATGATCTCATAAAACTGTCTATCAATCGATTCTATCTAGTCTACCGACTCACACTAACACTAGAAGACAAGAATATTGATTAATTTGTGACTATGACCAGTCATACATTGTAGGCGGCCGGGTTAGGCTGAAGAAGTTCCACGATTGCAGGTAATCGGACCAGACAATTATTATATGAATTAATCTACTTGTACCAAATATCTTACCTAATTTTTGATCGAATTGACAAATGGCGCCTCCCTATTGGAGGGGCGCCTGTTCACTCCAATAAAGATGCGACACTTGTCAATTCGGTCATCCATTTGATAAATAATTTGGTACATATAATATTTCCCTTATTATATTAGCCATGTTTGACAATCATTAAAAGATTTTGCTTTCTCGTACTCGATTTCAACTACACGTTCTAAAAATAAATATTCTGTATAGAAATTCAAAAAAAAAAAAAAACTACTATCTAATAACACATTTTTTTAAAAATCATTATTCCAAAACTTTAACTCAGTTTCCTCAAAAAATTCATTTTAATGATTGTCATTTGTCAACAAGGACAATATTAGAGGAAATTTGTTGTAGCTATGTCTGGCAAGTTTTACGGGTTCATAAACAATTGTTAAAAGTCAATTTTCTTTTTATCCGCATTTTATGTACTTATTTAGTGTAGATATAAATTTTAATAAAAATTGATGAAATATATGAATCAAAAAGTGCAAATGTTAATGTCCTATATCCAATCGATTTTAGGATGAAAACACTTTTAGCTTATGTTTGGCCCCCATTAAAAAAAAGAATTTATTCTTTTCAAAATTCATTTTTAACCATACATTCTCCTATAAAATATTATACATGCAAAATCCAAATTTTTTTTTTACTTTTCAACCATACATTCTCTAATATATTTTTACCAAAAATGGGGATCAAACAATGTCTCAATAAGATTGATGCATTTTTTTATGGGAGGTCTATTTTTAATTAAATTATTATTCTGATAAATTAAATTGATAGAGTCATTTGATTCAAATATTGTTAACTTGTTAATCACGAAGAGTTGTAATTGTGAGATACAAGTTATGTGTGACTGAATCTTAAATTATCCGTGGTTGTAAATAATAACGAGACATGAATATCGTTATTACGGATAGATCAGTACGTGTGACATTTATCACTTATGGAGTTGCTAATCTTACAAGTAAAAAAGTGGTGACATATAAATAGACACATAAATGTTTTGTTAAGAAAATAAAAGATTCACAACAGAGATATCACTTGAATATCTATTTTATTATTAGTGGTTAATATCTAATGTTCAATGGTGAAATTTGTCATTTGACTTAAGATCATCACAGTTCCTTATACGAGGATCTTCGTGCTTTGGTGATTTTGATGTTGTTCTAACAAAAGTTACTAATACAACACCGTCCAAGTATGATAAAAATCATATGAAAGTTGTGAATGGTTAGTAGAAGACTCGTCACTCAATGACAGTAAGAAAATATAACTTGTTTCATCCATTTAAGTAGATATTGAAATCCTTGACTAAAGTGAGTTCATAAGTCGAAAAGAGTTTTTGAAAATAATTAACTTAAGAGTGGGATGAAAGGTATGATTAATTAAATTGAGATTGACCATCTTCATATCTCATCATTAATTGGGTTGTATTGATAAAAAAATTTTAATTGTATAGTAAATGAACAAGTTTTATTTTGTTACACAATGTGATATTCCACTCATATATATATTACTCTGACACATTACTAAATATCAAATAGGGATGATGAATTTTAATTTATCTTATTTTGATTAAACTAAAATAATAATACAGCCGTCCAACATCATAATCAGGAGCCTAATAAGTTAAACGCAAAAAGAAAAAACTAGAAGAATAAAATCAAAAATTAAGTAATTGACAAATTTAAGATATTTGTAGAATTAATTAATCGGATTATTTATTTATGGGCTAAGATCAATTAATTAGATTAATTAACTAACGGACAAATTTATATTTAATTAATGGATCAAACTCATTTAAACATCTATAAACAATTAGGGTTCCATTGCAACACTACTTGATACATTCATAATCTTGCTAACACTAATATTTATATAAATCGAACATTAATCTCTCATTCTTGTTCTCCCGTATGGTATACCATTGGAGGTTGAACAATTAAGCAAATATGGTATGGAACGATCGTGATAATCAAGACTCATAAAGGATTTTGGCTCCAAAAAATGGGTCGAAAGGGTTGTTCGATGACAACAACTGTTGCCGACCACGATGACAGTTGCATGCTAGCATCGATGATGTGCAACGACACCTGCCCCATAGCCGCAGTGACATGTGTGCTATTGCATGTTGCTAGGAGTGTTGACGTCGCCAAGGAATTAGTTTAGGGTTTGGTTGGTTTTTGAACGGGGCCCCTTGATGCAATTTATGAAATTGCCTACCCTGTTTGACATTTTAAAAATGGTCCATAATGCAATTTTCAAAAATGATTTTGGATAAAATTTTGAAAAAGAATTTAAATGTTATTTTCAAAGGGATTTTGATCTTAATTTCAATTTTGACAATATTTTTTTTATTCTTTTAAAATTTTATTAAAAGTTCATGACTTCTAAAATTATTGTCAAATTTGATTTTAACCAAAAATTTACAACATTGACCCTACATTGAATTTTATTTTAATTGTATCTTAAACTAAAATGTTTATTCAATTTATCCAAAAATTTTGAAATTAGAGTAAGACTTTAATTTAATATTTAATTACAATTCGATTTCAATTAAATAATCTCATTAATAAAATAGATTAATTAACGTTTAATTATTCAGATCCACAAGGAGATTATAAATATAGGCTAATCTTATGTGTGGTCGTTAGTGTTTTAAAAAAACACGAATAGGTGGTGCCTAGCGTGCGAGATGCAGAAGAAACGCAACGCATTGACTATAAGCATGAAATTAAGCGATCAATTATTAAATTGATCACTTAATGTGCAATTAGATGTGCATAGATGCATTTTATTTTGTAAATTTAATTTCAAGTTTTTCCTTTGAAATTTGTATAATGGACTAATGTAGGAATCATTAAGTAAGTACAGTATTTTATAATTTTAAATATTTGGTATGTATTATTTTAATTATTAAATAATTTTTAGGATGATTAAAAGTTTAAAATAATATTAAAAATAAGAAAAAGTTTTTTATATTTAGGCTCGTAAAGTTTGAAATTTGACCTTCATGCTTAACCGCATTTTACGCTTTTTAAAACAGTGATGGTAGTTTTTTTTCGTGCTTATTTGTTTGTGAGTAATATGTTAATAATTAGTGCAGGGGTGATCCAGTGTTGGATAGGGTGGGCAACCCCCCAAAAATAATTAAGAAAAAATTTGCAATTGACCCATTTCACCAATTTAATTTACAGGTCAATTTTGGATTACAATTCTTGAATGTTAGGGAAGGTTTCTGATATTTTTTGAAGTACTCTAAGGCATACTTAACGTGTCTTTTAGTATGATAAACAACGAACATTGAAAATGCAATAGCGAAATAGAAATGATTGCAAGAATGGAGTATAATAAATCTAATGTGTGGGCATCACCATCGTAGGTTTTCATTTCGGGCTATATTTCTCGATCATCGAGTTTAGTTCTTCATATTGTTTGATGAACTCGTGACCAGCTATACGATGCATAAATCGAATGAAAAACAACTAATTATTGGACTTGAATTAGCTAGTCAAGGATGACTGTTAAAATGAATTTAATAATTCTATTCAGTTCTCGTCAACTTTGACTTCGACTAATTATTTGACATCAATTGACACTTGTCAATTTTGAATAACTGAGACTCATTTATCCAAGTACTCTCTTGAAAAAATTGCAAGCCCCTCTGAATAAGTAAATAATATGTTGTATATTGTACGAAATGTATGAATAAAGAATATATTTATTTATATGTTGCCAAAAATGCACATAAATTTAGATTAAAATATAAATTTTAGTTTCTACCAAATAGAGGTTTATTTATATGTACACTTCCTACATTATGAAGTCATGCGAAGAAATTAATGTAGTTTAATATATAGAATCAAAAATCCAGAAGAAACATTATACTACCTCATCAATTTATGTTTAGTTCAGTTTCTTCAGTAATTTGAACTTGTTTAGAGCTATGTTACCCTTTCGTAATCTATTTGTTGTTGGAAGAAGACTTTTGAAAAATGGTAGATAAATTGGAAATAGTAATATTTGGACGATTTGTTGTATAAGCCCTTGTTTGAGCCTCATTTTTGGGGAAAAAAATGAATTTTTGAATAGTGTATTGATGGAAAATATGTGGTTAAAAAATAAGGAAAAATTTTAAATTTGCATTTAATATTATTTTATTAAAAAATGTGTGGTTAAAATGATATCAAAACATTGTAGAAAAATGCAAATTTTTTTTTTCCAGAAAAATGGGGTTCAAACAAGGGCTAAATTTGCACTTACCAAACATTGCAAAGAGGAAAAGCTTAAATAATTGGGAGAGAGGACAACTTATTATTAAGAGCCTGCTTCGGAC